TGTAGGACAAGTCAAGGAATATAAGAAAATATACATGAAAAAAATTATCATGGCAATGTGGTATGATAATTCCACTAAAATAAAAATTATAGGATAACTGAAGTGTAAATACAGAGTCTTATCCTGATAGAAGAATATAACAGGGTTCAAAAGGGGAACAACCAATACTTTAGTGCTGCATACCTCTGAAATAGTTGGTGTGTTTTTAAAGTAGGTTTTGTGTTCAAATCCCATGTTTTGTATTTGTAAGAAACAGCCCCCTTATTCACAAATATGCTGACACTTTTGTCATTTTACATATTTATATCCCTGATGTAGTTAATTACTTAAAAATTATGACCAAGGAACAATTGTGACATGATTCCATAAAAAGAATTGGAAAGAGTGATTTGAAAATGCTGCCATATCCTCCTGAAAGGGTATTAGCTATGAGAAGTTTTTACTGTTGTCAGTTGCCGTATTTAGACTCCAAGACTTTATAAGTTTCAAGGTGTTGCAGTGGTAAACAGTCCGGGCAAACCAACTGAAAATGGATATGAAACAGCATCCTAATTTTGCAGTTCATTTTAGTTTCCATGAATTATGAGTTAATCTTGTTTCATTTTGTTTTTCTATGGTTTTCATTTTGTTTTCTTTCTTTTTCTTGTTGGAAATGATGGGACAGACAGGGAAATGTAAAAAAGATTAAAAAACAGGATTGTAACTTTTGATTCTGTCTACAAGTGAGTGAAAACAAGATAGCTATATTTAATCATTCTGTTTTGTAGATATAATTTAAAAATTATACTCTCTTTGGAGGTTGCTCTTTGGAGAAGTGATTTTGGAAGAAAAAACCATAGTGTTGCAGATTCATAGAGAAAGGCAGTAAGATTTTGAGATCAGTATACAAGAGAGGAAAGAGTCAGTCAATGATGTTATAAATTATTTTTATTGCTTTTACTATGAAATATATTATTATGAAGAAATAAATTCTCCATTATTTCAGTTAGATTCCAGAATGGAACATATTCACAAGTTCTTCTGCTTTCCCCTCTTTGTCCCCTTTGGTCCACTGAATCCTTAATTCTTTGCTGGAGGAGCAGACTTGCATCAATATCAAGTCTTTCTTTATACCAATATAGGCTACAGAGTGGAAGTTGAAACACCTACTTAAGAACTGGAAGTGAGAATTTTACTTCAGTGGGCCCAGTGGTAAATCAAATCTTTATCACAAGATTATGCATGGTGAAATCTGTGATGGATGTGAGTTTTGGTTAAGTAGTTGGAGTCAGAAGTTTCACTCCAGGGACTTTTTCTATTTTTATAGAAAACACAGAGAAATAGAATCAGTTATAAATTAAAACCCCAACAGCATTATCTGAAGTCTGTGGAATCTTGGACAGTAATAGCATGGGATGGCATATAGGGACACAGAGACTGTGCAGTGTAGATTCCTTGTTCTTCATGGCTTAAAAAAAAGCACATGATGAGAGGTGAATTCAACCCACATTTGCTGTTTTACACTTTGAAACAGTGCAAATGGGAGAGTGCTATACTTAGATCTGGGCTAAATTCAATATAATTTTACTTCCCATTTTACCAAGGATGAACTAGGCCAGACTGCCTAGCTGTGGAAAACCTGTCTTGTCAGAGCATGTTCAGGGTAAGAATTGCCCTGTATTTACTCTGACAAGTCAGGTTTTCCACAAGCTAGGGACTAGCCTGGTCTGTTGTCTTAGCTTCTAGAAGTCAGATTTTTTACTCAAAAGCTACATCTGCGCCATTATCTTTTGTTTAGGTGCACAGGTGAACTTACTTTCCATTTTTTAAATTGTAAACCCATGTTTATTGTCAGCACAATTCCATTGTGGTTTTTGTTTTGCTTTGGTTTTTACTTATTGATTTAATTGGTACTTTTTCAAAAGTTTATAAGACGTAAAACATGCTTTTAGAAAATTATTGAGCAAAACCTTGAGGTGAGCCTTCAGGTAGCAAAGAGTCGATATTGGGAGACATTTGGCAGTAAAATAATTTGTAAAGAGATGCAATAGATATCTGCATTTTTAGACAGAAATGTAAAACTAGACTAAATAAAACACCATTACGTGTCCTGAAAAGGTTATGGTTTTATACAAAAGCACTGGCAGTTAATAGAGATATAGGGAGGCAAAATCACATTTGGAAGAGAGAAAAAAAAAGGTGAGATAGTACTCTTCTTTGCAGCTAGGAGGAACTGAGAGTTTGCAAGCATTTTGCTTCTGTGCAGGGTGGCAGCAGTTGAGTACAGATGCACTTACCCAAATAACTGCTGTGTCTGATACCCCATGTGCAGATAAAGCTTTATTTTTCCATATTTCATACATCTACAAAGTCTCTACAGCTCCTGAGTTTACTGGAGTGATTGTAAGTGACTTACAGCATGTCAGTGAGCTAAGTTAATAGTGCAGTTTGTAAAGATACTGTACGTGCTACTTTCACCACTGTTTGGGTTAAAAACCTCCCAGTATAGCAGTAGTCATTACAGGACTTAAAATTGTGTTTGCCTGCTTACATTAGAACTTGTAGCTTTGCTAACACGAATGGATGTTGATGAAAGTTTAAAAAAATACTATCCTACAAGAATCAGGAACATTTAAGTGACAGATAAAATCATCTCTGTTTTCTCCATCAAGCTGGTCACAAGCCAATACATTGAGAGTGACACTCAGTGTAGAGTTTCAAAAATTCCCAGGTTCATATTTTTGTAAGAAATGCTAATAGAAACCTTTTCCTTCAAATTTGTGCTCTAGTGACTATAATACTATCTTTGTTTTTCCTGAGTGTGTTGTGTTTTTTGTTTTCCTGGTTATAATGACAGTAGTCATAGACAAAATACTGAATATCAAGCTACCAATTGAATGGTGATTTTATCTTGATGAGTGTTTTGGGTACTTCATTAGTACATGCATTTGGTATAACTGCAATGCTCAAGTATTGAAGACAATTAGTTCAAATCTAGATGATCCTGAAGATTGATCTCTTGCAAATACATTTTCAAATACATATTTTATCATCCCAGGAAGACCTTTCAAACATCTAACTAAATATTGTTCTGTAATTTTGAAATTAGGCACATATCTGGCATGTATTCATTTCTTACACAATCTCTCCTTCAGATAGCTGCTGTCCTTAAAATATTAATGCCAAGCAAGTAACAGTTTCTCAGAACCCAGCTTTGCACAATGGTAGAAGTGATTTCAAATGGGAACATTTACTTAGATTTATCTATTGAGATGAAATCCACACATCACTGCAATTAAAAACAAAATTCTTTACTGATGAAACTGAAAACTACCAAACAATTGAAACTTACATGTTTTCCAAATAAGTTGCAGCTGAATCAAAAAGAACGGAATACACTTTGAGACAGAAAGTGTCAGGGAGAGTGGGGTAGAGATGAGTGAAATGGAAAACTCACACGAAGGTGTAAGTCAAGTACAGGATATGACTGTGGTTTCTTAAAAGTCTTGAAAACAAGGAAGGTGTTCACAGTAAGCATCAAGAAGTGTCTGAGTTTTTGTCACCATAATCCCCTGAGAGAATTGGGTTGGCTTTTAAGCAAATATTACTGTGCCTAAATTCTAGTAACAGATTTCATTTCTAGCCTGGAATACACTGGGCAGAGAGACTGTTTAATCCTGTTCTAATCTGAAACTTTAGAACATATAAACATGGAAGTGTAGTTTTCATAACTGTGATTCAATTATGATTTGTTTTGTAAATGTGAAAAATGCTGTTCAGTCTTAGATTTGTAATAAGAAGGACAAGGTTTATATGGAGTCAGACCATCTTGTGAAGAATTAACAAATTCCCTGGAAAAGAGGTCCAGAAGAAATCTCTTTTCAGGGGACCAAAGAAAACCCCCAAAACAAGAAAAGCACAAAGAAAACTTTAACTATACTTGAGCATTCCTTTGTAAATTAGCTGTGCATTAAAGCACTGGAATGCCATGGAGCTGAGATAATACTCATGGATTTGAATTAAACTAATGGAGTTTTGAAATGGTTTGAAAAGACTGAATGCTTTTTGTAGCTTATAAAGGCAAAGAAATACAAGGAACAAATGCAAGCAATCCCAAGGAAGAATTGTTCAAAGTTCATTGCTTACTGGTCTGCTGCCAATAGCAAGACAGATTTTATTCATTCATCTGCTTTTGGTAATGTTTCCTGTAAGGAAGAGTCCAGGATTAGAATTAATGGGACAAAATAAATGAGAATTTCTTCTGATTAAAACATTACTAAGGTAATTTTTGTTGCCACGCAATATGTGTGGCAACTGTGTACCTGTTTTAAAAAAAAATTATGAAAAGGTAAGTAAACTACTTAACTAAAGTTAAGTAAACTATTTATCTTTTACAATGGTAGCGCAGAAGCAAATGCAGAATTAAGCAATAAACTAAGCTAATCTAAAGCACAGAGTTACAACCTCCTTCTATTTGTCCTTTTTGGCTGTGTTGGCTGCACCTGTCAGCTGGTATTTCAGCAAGTTTAATACAGAACTGCTTCTCCATCAAAGGTCATTTGCTTTGCTTAAAGCAAAGGCTTTCTTTTTTGCATTACCCCAACTTCTTCATTCTGTTTGTTGTCAGAAACTCCATGTCAATCCAAGCAAAATGTACTTAAGTTCTTTGAAAACAGGATCAATAACTTCACAGAAAATAAGTTTTAAAGAAACAATTGGTCTGTCTTCGTGCTTGATTTACTTAAGAAATATTGTTAGTACAATAATTTAAGCAGCTCATGCTGACTGCTAATTATTTTGGAATTTCATAGATGAGGAGTTTTGCCCTTAAACAGACCAAATAGAGCATTATATTCAAATACTAACATGATTGGTCAAAGGTTAGCATAAAATGAAGGAGTTCTTTAATGGTTCAAGTACACTTTTTTGAATCTTCAGTTATTTTTGCAACATTTATACACAGAAATAATTTTGTCTTGTTAAAAACATAGTGTTCACCCTGTTTTTCCTCTTTCCTGCAGGGCAGCACAACTATTTATGTGCTGGAAGAAATGACTGCATAGTCGATAAAATCCGTAGGAAGAACTGCCCAGCATGTCGCTTGAGGAAGTGCTGTCAAGCTGGTATGGTCCTGGGAGGTGAGCTGTTTTTCAAGTGGATTTATAAGAGTAGGCAGTCAAGTACACTACCTTCAGTCAGTTAAGTTAAACAGCAGTACTTTGATACTGTAAAAAAAAAACAACACATTCAAATGCTATTTTTGCAAGAATTACCTAATGCTTTATAATTTAGTAGAATTTTTCTTTAGTGAATCTGGAAACCATGGCAAAACACCTTTCTGTAAGAACAACTGTGTACCCTTACATTCATTTTCTTGAAGGGAAAGGAATTATGTCTTGGTTGTATATTTATTAATAATTTTGGGTCAGGTAATTTGGTATAGGGAAAAAATAAATAGATTGAAATTGACACTAAAATTGGGATTCAGTCCTGTGCTCTTCTAATCTGTGTTATACCCTTCATCATTGCGTTGAGTATATGTCAACAAAATTGTGTCCTTCTCTTCCACCAGAAAGGGCAAGGCAGTGGTTGCACCAATACTGCAGGCTTTGCATATTAGTTGCTGGGAAATCCTATCATTGTATTAGTTTTTTCTGTAACAGATTTGGGGGTTTTTTATGTGTCATTAAATGAAAATGACATATCATTAAAAATTACATATCATTATATTAAATTGAATATACTCTGCCTTTGAAAACCTACAGGGAGAAAATGGTGTATGATTAGGTAGTCACATGGTAAGTTTTGATATGCTTACAGGCAGGAATGATGCTTATTTTTGCTGTTTTGGTTTTTTTTCCTATTGTGGATCAGCACAAAGCTTGAAAATATGTGGCTAAGACTATAAGAAAATGGACATATTAAAGTGATAGAAAGAATATATTCCTAAAGGGAGTTAAAAAAAAGGGGGGGGGGAGAGGACAAAAACCTGCTGTATTTCCAGTTTAATCTATTTTAGCCCATCAAAGCCCTCTGTCTCACTCTCCTACTCAACCCTACATTCCCTCCCCCACATTATTTAAGTATTGTTTTTTATCCCTGAAGGAAGAGCTGGCACTATATACTGTACATAATTTCATTATCTTCCTGATCAGCATTCTTTGATAATGTAAAACATGCATATAGTTTTCAGACTGATAGTTTGGTTGCACAGCTCTGTTTTTTCCAGCTCCTGTAAGCTGAATGCAAGCTCCATGGAGCTGGAGTATTCTGCACACATGGCCATTGTGTCATTCTTACATGGTCAGTCAGTGCCACCTCTCAGTTAAAAAAACAAAAATGGAGCTGACAAGCACATTGGTGCCACTGGGCTGAGGGGAGAGGGACAAAAGGAGAACATGTCCTTTGGATCCTTCTCAGATTGAAGTGGTGTTTTAAAACTGGAGTAGCAGTGCAGTAGAGAAACAGTATTACTACAAAGGCAAAACCTAAAGCCTCATTTGCCCAACTTTGGAAGAGGAGAAAGCCAAGGAAGCAGAGGTCCTAAGTAAGCTGTGGAAAATAGAGAGCAAGAATGAAGACTCAGGAAGAGGAGTTGGCAGATGTAGTGCCTGCCTTTTAAAATTTGGGAGAACATACCAGGTTTGATCAATTTGACCTCTGAAATATATTCCTGCCTGAGGCAGGTGGGTTAGACTAGATGATCTTTAGATCCCTTCCAATCCAAACCATTTTATTATTCTAATGGGTGTAACTTAATACAGAAAAAAAATTCATTCCTGACTGTGAGTTTTGCACACTTGGGAGTTTGATGATGATCTAACCTAAATTTTCATTTATGACACCCTGGATAACACCAATAACTAAACTCTGTGTGTTTCAACATCATAGGTAGCAGTTTCAACAAGCAGAAGAGTGTGAGATGACTCATTATCATTATCTAGTCCTTTTGCTTTAGCATTGTTCTGCATTGTAATGCTATATAGGAAAAGTTGCCAGCAGGCTTGACTTAATTTTACACTTTTTGCGCATTTATGGATGCTAGTTTTCCTAGTGTTTTTTAATATATAAATTTTGCTGTGGTTGTGTAGGTACTAGAAACAGAAAAAGTTGGACACTTTTGCCAGCAATATTGATTAGATGGTATGTCCTCATTACTATATCCTCATAGTAAGATGTTATGTCCTCCTACAAAACCTGAGGATCAAGATACTGTGACTTACTTTATTACTAGCAGGTATGAAGAGAGTAAAATCTTCATCTTTCTCATCACCTTTTCAGGTCACCTTTTTTCCTCAGCTATTACAAAGCAAGCGTAAATATCTTCTTTGTATTTAATGCTAGCCAGATTGTTGTGTTGCGTAGTCTTCTCCTAAGTATACCTAATCAAAGTTGTCTCCCATTTTTTGAGAAGCCTGTGCAGTCTAGTTTCTCTGGTTCTCAGAGAGGCATTGCATTTCATCAGATCTCTGCCCTGATATCCCCACCTACACCATCTTCTGGAAAGGAGTAATCTGGCAGCAAATAGAAAGCAGAAGAGAATAGTTGGTCAGTGGAAAAAAGGAAGCTGAGTGGAGCTGTGACTATGGCACTTCTATTTTTTTTTTTGTCAGCTGCCTCAGGTTAAGTGCCTCAGGTGCTCTTAGTGATGCCAACAGTTCTGGCGGGATTAGGAAGCTAATTGTTTTATGCAGGCTGAAATGGAGTGCTTAGTACTGAAAGAAGAAGAAAAGACAAATGTAGACCAAAAATGAGGAAATCTGGAGTGAAATTATACTATTTGTAAATGAGGATTTAAAATTCAAACTGCAAACAAAATCTCAAGATAGACTGTTACCCATAATACTCTTTCTGTGATTATATTGTTGCCCTTCTTCCTTTTGCCATCTGCCATTTCTTATAATTCCTTTATTGTATCACATGAGCAAAATTTCCTACTCATGACTTGATGTGCTGATCAGCACAGTGCGATTCATATATGGAGTGTTACAGGGCTTAGATAATTTTCCCAAAGACGTCAGTGATCAAAGGGCTGGGAAGCCTGCCATACGAAGAAAGGGTAAACATGAGCCAGCAGTGTGCCCAGGTGGCCAAGAAGGCCAATGGCACCCTGGCCTGTGTCACGAATAGTGTTACAACCAGGATTAGGGCAGTGACTGATTGTCCCTCTGTACTCAGCACTGCTGAGGCCACACCTTGAGTGCTGTGTCCAGCTCTGGACCCCTCACTACAAGAAAGACATTGAGGTGCCTGGAGCATGTCCAGAGAAGGGCAGTGGAGCTCTGGAAGGGTCTGGAGCATAAATCCTGTGATGAGCAGCTGAGGGAGCCAGGATTGTTTTGCTGGGAGAAAAGGAGGTTCAGGAGGGACTTCCTTACTCTTTACAACTCCCTAAAAGGAGGTTGTAGCAAGATGGGGTCAGCATCTTCTCCCAGGGATCATGTGACAGTATGAGAGGACATAGCCTCAGGCTGTGAGAGAGATTCAGCTTGGAAATCAGGAGCAAATTTTTCACAAAAGTTTAACAAAGTTTGTTAAACTTTGAAATGGGCTGCCCAGAGAGGTGGTGGTGTCACCATCCCTGGAGATGTTTGAAGAAAGGCTGGACGTGGGACTTCGTGCTCTAGTTGACAAGGTGGTGATGCATTGAAGTTTGTACTTGATGGACTTGGAGGTCTTTTCCAAGCTAAAATATTCTGTGATTCTCTGATTCTGTGAAGTGAATTTGTTCAGCCTTGGGAAAAGAAGGCCTAGGGGACACCTTATCACTGTTTTCCACTATTTAAGGGTGACTGCAAAGAAGATGGAAACTCCCTTTTTACAAGCAGTCACATGGAAAAGGCAAGGGATAATGAGTATCAGTTACTCCTAGGGAGATTCTGATTAGACACAAGAGGAAAATATTCCACAATGAGAAAAATCAGCCATTGGCATTATTGCCCAACATAACTGGTGGACTCAACACTGTTGAACACTTTTAAGATTCATCTGGACAGGGTGTGGGGATCATCTTGTCTAACTGTGCTTTTGCCAAGGGAGGTTGGACTGGATAGTCCTTGAGGTTCTTCTCACCCTGGAATTCTGTGATTCTGTGACAAAAATCCATATGCAAATTTCCAATTTTTGTAATACAGTACATGCTTAGAGACATCCTGGAGTTTTTTAAAATAATTGGAATTGGCAATACTTTAAATCTGTTCTTTTGTTTACAACCTTTATAGGTCAAGATTTTTTGTATTTTCTGCCATTTAGATCTTACATAGATATGTTTTTGTTCTTTTACCTCTGATACCTAGTTTCTTAATGCTGACCTTGAGTTAAATGCAGACCGGCTATATTGCTTAATTAACATGAGAAACACTAAGATATTACAGGATCTTAATGATAAGCTTCCAAAAACTACTATATTAATTAAATTAAACTTACTTCTTAGGGAAGTACACCTATCTTCCATTGTGAATGTCACTGAGTGGCAAGCATATAGATAAAAGTGTAATATTTTTTTATATGGACAACAGTTCCATTTTTCAACCCTAAATTCAAAGACATTTCAAACTCCTGAAATATTTTAAAAGAAATTTTAAGTCAGTTGTAAGTAAATTATAGAATAGCAACCAACAGATTCAGTAATTTATTTCCCTATATGGACTGTTTCTTAATCTATAGAAGGAAAGTATCAATAAAAACATGCATTTCATAGTACTATATTTGTCATTTTCTGTGAAAGTGTTAATTGTCTTTGGATTCTATAACCTCATAACTTGGGACATTAATCTATTCCCTTTCTCATCTTAAACCTAATAGGATAGCAGGCAGCTGGATCAGGTCCTGGAATAAACAAGTACACAACTCTTTTATTTATTATGAATGAATCTGTAATTTTCCCAGGCTGATTATCACAGATTCCTTGTTCAGCTGCATTGCTAAATTAGTGTGTTTTTCATTGTTTCAATTGGCTTTCAGTATGCAGTGCAGTGATTACATGCAGAAAAAGGTGAATTAGTTTTCCAGGTAATATTTTCTGAGGTAGGATCAAAAGGTTTTTTAAAACCAAGATCTGTTCCTTCTGCTTTGCTGCTTTCTCTATGTTGTATACACCTCCCCTAAGGTGTACATAACTTCTTTTTCTACACAAAAAGCAAGAGCATAGTGACCTTTAAGTAAGGGCCATTGTGTTCTGTCAAGAATAATACATCATTGATGCTTTTCACCTCGTTACAGGGTAAGAAGAAGGGTAGTGAGATGTTAAACTTCTACTAGAAACCCAACCCTTTCAATATAAATTGTGTGCCATCAGTAATGTCTAATTGTCTGTATGATTCTGTATATCTAGTTAAAAAATATTAAAATACAGAATTAGGTAGTAAGGAGAAAACCATAATCTATTTGATAGTGGGGTTAAACAGATTTTTTTTTAATGTTTTCTAGCTACATGTAGAACACAAACACTATAAACATGCTATTCATAGTAATCAAGGCTAGGGGAACAGTGACTATGAAGAAAGTGCTTGAGTGGTCAGCTGTCTTAAAGTGAAGTAATGAAAATGTTACCAAAAAAGTGTGTGCTGTCTACATATGCACAGACATATAATATTAAGAAGTATATATTATAGTATTAAGAAAAGTAGTTGTCAGAGTGAATTGGTATTATTTACCCATTATGGGACTAATTGGGGACTTTCATTTATCTTACAGCGCAAACTTACCCGCTTTGTAAACAGCAAATGAAAAACTAAGCTATTGTCAAATCTCCATTGTTTTTCTTATGTCCTTATGTTTTTATTAATTTGACGTGGTCTCCTTGTTGTAGATGGGAAAGTTTGCTGCGAGTCATTAACAGTCACCTCTCCTGTAGATAGGTAACAAGTGGAGTTGTTTTACTGATGGCTGTTAAGCAACATAATTAGCAATAAACACACGAGCAGTTCTGCAAACCAGTGTGACATTAATTCTGATACATTTAGTCACTTGGAAACATGGGTACTTATTAACTACTAACATTTCCATGTGATAAGCATTCTGTTTGGTTTCTTTCTTTACTTGTTCTCTGAACTGTAAAAGTATCTGAAGTCATTATTTCTGAAAATTCCTGAAATCATTATTTATGAACTATCAAATGCATTGTTGCTTCTGTTTTCCTTCATGCCTACACAATACTTAGTGGGAAATTCCCACCATGTCTATGACTATGTATATGTTTGTTATGATAAAAATTGGCTCTAGGTCATTCGGCATAATAAATTGTCTATTCTTTTGTAAGTTTTTGGTTTGCTTTTTTTTCTTGGTTCAGCTGTAACTTAAGATGAAACTTTGTGTTTGGTTCTTTACTAAGAAATCTCTAATCAGAAATATTTTTATTCTTACCACGAGTGATGAAATGAGCATGATTGTTGGGGCACTTGATACTAAACTAATTAAACCTGCAATTAAGTTAGTGGGACTATGACCCCTGGATGTCGTTGCATGATGAGTGTTACTGGTTTTGCCATCACCCTTACGTTTGTTTCTGTCCCCCTGTCATGTAAATCAGACCATCAGTGTCAGTATCTTTATTGCATTTTTTGATCCTTTTTCCCTAAGACAAACTTATTTGGCAGAACTAAAGATCTAGCAGGGTTTTCATCGTCTTTGAGGATCTATTTAAAGCAAATGTGTTCCATGTAGTCACATCTGCATGGATTTGCTTTTTTATTGAAACTGGTAATATGTCACTGAGGGTTATTGTCTTTGAGCCTCTGAAGGTTTGATTTTCTGTGTCTGTCGGATGCACTGCCAGACTGTTTTCATGAAAGAAATTTGAAGAATTGTACCTAAACCCGTGTATTTCCATAGCCATACCACGTGTATCTGCATATTTTGGGAAGGCAGTTCAGCTATTAATTTGTTTCAGTTAGTGTTGTTCATACCACTGCAGTATGGAAATAACAATAAAAAATTCTGAGAAAGGGAAATTATGCTTTAGGAAGTGAAATGTCTTCTAAGTGTTTACACTAGTTGTTGGTCTTTTATTCATCCCCCGGACACTAAAATAGGATTCAGCCATGAGACTGAAACGCTCTTAGTGAACTGGAGGAAAGGAGTTTCTGTGTGTAGTAATTAATTGCTAACATTTTTGGGTTTGAATATTAGGGAGTAAAAGAATCAGTATCTTTAATTGACATTAAATAGAAACTGAATTGTAGAGCCAGCTGGCTCAGCTGTTGGCATATGACAGAACAGTGGGAATTGAACCAGAAAACACTTTATGAGGTTACTGTAACCTAGAATTCATGGCAATAATTTTAATGGGTGAGTGCTGTTCATCCCTTAGTGAAGGGAGCAGGATACAGAGGGAGAAGCTCTAAAGAATTTTCCATTATCATTTTTCAGTTATATAAATAGGAAAAAAAAATAGAAAACTGATTCTGAAGACAGTTCTGGTTTCCTTGTATAGATTAAAAGTGTAATCCAACACTAGTGGAAAATATTAATGTTCTTGGTTAACTCTTTCTAACAGATCAACAATTTTCTTTTTCAGGTCGGAAATTGAAAAAGTTTAACAAAATTAAGGTTGTGAGAACATTAGATGTTGCACTCCAGCAGCCAGCAGCCCTTCAAGATGAAAGCCAATCTCTAACCCAAAGGCTGTCCTTCTCTCCAAATCAAGAAATACAGTTTGTTCCCCCAATGATAAGTGTTTTACGAGGCATTGAGCCAGAAGTTGTCTATGCTGGTTATGACAATACAAAACCTGAAACACCAAGTTCCTTGCTGACCAGTCTGAATCATCTTTGTGAGAGGCAACTTCTTTGTGTAGTCAAGTGGTCTAAATTACTACCAGGTAATATAATTTCTTCTATGTAGTGAATTGTATTTAAGCAAATATTTCATGAGAGCAACAGTCTAAAGACAATACTATTGACTGCCTGTTAATTCTTTACAAATTCCAAAATGATTAAGCTTTCACTTATCAGATCATTTAACTAATCAAATATATTTTAGTAGGGAAGCACATTTGAAAGAATCCATCTAAATATTTAGATTCATTCCAAGAAAGCACAGGAGCTCAGACAGTTCCTGTATGTGATTGTTATTACAGCCTTTCTACCCCAGCCCCTCTTACTCTATTATTTATTCATTTGATATAAAAGGGTTGTATATCTGCTTATTCTTTATTCTTCTTATTACTGAAATGAATTTTTGAAAGCAACAAAGTAAAATTTTTATAAATAATACCAATTAGAACTAAGCAGCTCACAAACAGACTGGTAATGAGAAGTAACTGAATTTATGAAGATCCACAAGTGGATTTAAAAAAAAAAAATCCCTGTTATGTATGTATGTGTGCTGTATGGTGATAGGGATCATGATGGTCATCCTGGGATATGTAGAAATCAATATTTTGAGCAGAAAGCTTGGAAAATACAGTTTCATGTGAGCTCAGTTTGACACTTTGCTGATGCAGGAAGCAGTAGTCTCAGTCACTGCTCTTCCCATTGCAGTTGGCACTTAACACACCTCTTGAGTGAATTGATTCATCTCACTGAATGAGAAGAAAATAAACCTTTTTTTTAACCCTCTGTGTTTCCTGATGTCTTCATGAACTGAACCAGTTCACTGAGGAGGAGCATGAGTGCCAAAGCTTGCTTGAAGGAGGTAACAGGACCACGCTGTGAGGAACAGGAACGCTGCTTTCAGTGGCAGGAAGCTGTTAGTTTCACTCACATAATTTGTCGCAATCTTTAAATTTATCAAACAGCAAAAATGATCAAACACAAGTGCACAACTGAGTATGGTTCTCTTAAGTTGAATGGAAGAAAGATACTCATATATGGATGTTTTTGTGTGACAGCTACATCTTATGGTAAGAACACTGATGTTCAAGCTATTGACATTCAGTGAGAGTTGGTTACAGTGATCATGTTACAAACTGTCATATTTTTTACCAAAAGAAAAAGAGATGCATTCCTATCCTCTGAAACAGTAATTTTTGCTAAAATAAATTTTGGTGTGAACATTTCAAAATACTGGATGAGAACAAAAAGACAAGAGGTTAACTATCAAACTAAGATAGGCAGTTATTACCCAAGCATTGGAGAGCTCCATCCCCAGAACTGCTTGTCTTTCTAGGTGTCCTCAGTTTGATAGCACAGATTTGTAATCTCAAACATCTACTTAGCTGCTGTCTAGATGAGAATTATGAAATATTTTATCTTTCATTTAATTTCCAGGTTTTCGGAATTTGCATATCGATGATCAGATAACCCTCATCCAGTATTCCTGGATGAGTCTAATGGTTTTTGCAATGGGATGGAGATCATACAAGCACGTCAGTGGTCAGATGTTGTATTTTGCACCAGATCTGATTCTGAATGAGTAAGTAGAATGCTCCCATGAATAACATAGTGAACTTTAATGTGCCAATGGGAATGTGACTTCATTGAAGCCAAGATTTCATTCATTACTTGTTCTGTTTCAAAACGAATGGCCAAGTCCTCTGACCATCTCAAAGTTCAGTATCTTTGGGAGGGGATTTTTTGGGAACCTCAACTATTCTGTGTACGTGGTCAAGCAAAAGCAGTTCAAATAGAACTTCAATTATCTAAGAAAAAACCAGAAGATTTACTTCCATTCATCTGAATAAGTCATGAGTTAATGTTTACTAAATGGAACTGAGTGTGGGTTTTTTTGGTCGTTTTTGTTTGGGTGGTTTTTGCAAATAGTTTGCCTAAAATCTAAATGCTCAGTAAAAAAACTACTTATCAAGTAGGAATTTTAATATCAAGGAAAAATTATATGAGACTGCTCTTTTCTGCTGGGGGATGGTAGGGGCTTTTTGGCTTGTATTTTCCTTCACTGTGCTGTTTAATTTAGATAATCATCATGTCAGTCTCTGTCAGTTTTCCAGCTCTGCAAATTAATATTGCCAGACTTGTAATTTTATATTCTGTGGTTATAGTACATGGGAGGTTGTCAGGAACAGTAAAACATAATTTAATCCCTGTATTTATTTTTCCTTAATAAATTTTTCTCAGTTTTTTTTTTCCCCTTGTTCTTAAAATACTAAAAGAACTGCTATGAAGCAAGCTGAAAGAAAAACAGGTGTTTTGTAAGACATATTGTTTAAGGATTAAGGGGTGGATTTGCAGAAGATCTAGACACCTGATTTTAAAATCTATAGATGTGCAAGATCCTCCCAGTGAAGTTCTTTGTAGAAGATATTCAGCAGAGCCGACCCTATAGCTCCTGACCTTTTCTCATCCAAATGACTGTAAATCACTGTGAGGTTCTTGAGTAATGAATTCTTTCCTCTCCCATTTTTATTAGTTGTGCTGTACAAATTGAAATACTTAGAAGTTATGCGATTGAACGAGTTTCTGGCTGTAATGTTGTCCCAGCATAGTCTAATGCATGTTATGGTTACATTCAGAAGAAACACAGTGAGATGGCTTTAAGGAATAGTGTCATGTCTTGGAGTATCACCCCAATGCTGAGCTTGTGAAGAAGACTTATAAGTACTTTGGGAATGGTGTTGAGATTTATGAACCCTGATATTAATCCACCAGAGACAGCTTCTTATTATCAACTCAAGATCATCTACACTGGGTGCTGACAATATATTGCTCTCTTGATTGTAGAACATCTCATCAGGGTCATACTAGAGATTTTATAAACAAAGAGATATAAAAAGTAACTGATGCACTGAATCATAGCTGCAACTATTTATTAGAAATAAGTTAGCTTTTAGGTCAGTAAAATGTAAACAGCTTTGCTATCTACGATGATGTCTAAGCTTGTACTTTCATGTACACCTTAAGCAAGGGTAACTGCTGAACACTGCCAAAAAAGTTAAGTGTCATGGTCATGCATCCCCATGACTTCAGCTGAGCTGGACCACATGCTCTCTGGCTGCACTGTCAAACAGATAAGGAGTTTATATGCTTGAGAGGTGCCCCAGAAAGAGCCATTCATTAGCGGGTAGAGGTGATCCCTGACATGACTCACCATGTAGGAGTGCAGGCACTAATGCCAGAATCACAGGAGTGTGTGCCTAGAGGTAGAAAGAGATAATGGAAAGTCCTTCTGAGGGGGCAGTGCACACCATAGTTGTTTCATATTGATAGTTGTTTCATGTTCATAGTTGTTAGCTAGGAAACCACAATCCAAAGCTTGTGTTACAGCCAATCTATCATTTAGGTGAACTGAGTTGTTATGCTTCTGGGGAAGGACATGTTTGGTAGCATCAGTTTGACACCAAGAAAGCCAGTAGTGCTAGTTTGACCAAGATTTCTTTGTGTTAACACCCTACAAGGACTTACTGTTACTTGTGTTTTGCAGTGTCTTAAAATTTGAGTAAGAACAATGTTTAAGCTGCTAACCCCAAAAGCTGCTATTGCTGTTCGTAGAAAATAATTAGGAAGAAATGCTACCAAAAAGTAACAGAAAAGGAGATTTAAAGTAGATCTAGATACAAGTCTATTCAGGTTTAAAAGATTAAATTTCTATGATTATGTCATTTAAGAGCTGGTACAAGATACCAGATGTTGAACAACATTGAAATCATTTTCATTCAAGCTGACAGTAACACTTTAAATAATAAGAAAAACAATGCATTGAAAAAGTCTTTTTTAAATGGAAAATACCTCTTCTGTTTTTATTGCTGAGGTCACTACCTACCGTCAGGTTGGAATGCTGATCTGAATCCCCTAGCAGGCGGGTGAGCAAAATTTAAGCTTGCTGGTTTTGTACCTAATTCAACTGGATTGGGATGCAACCTTTTAAAATCAGTCCAAGATACTGGATCATCAGGTTAATATGCAATGAATTCAGTCTAGATTAGAAACTTTGTAATGCTGCCATTGCAGTCATTACACTTGAAAATTATTCTCCTACTAATTATATGCAATTAAATATACTCAATATACCAAAATCACAAAGAGAAAAGTGGTACCAAAGTGATGCAAAAACCCCACAGTTTTATCTATTTCCAGTGTGATTTGTTCAGGTTACTTCTGTGGGAGTTTAGGAAAGGTTGTATTTAATGTCTCTGTTTACTTAGCGTGTAACATTTTTAACTGTTTCTTTAATGGCATAACATGCTACAAAGCAATGCCATTGCTGCTAAAAGTACCAGGCTGGAGTTGCTACAAAGTATTTTGATACAGACGTTTTGCAAAACCTAAGAATAAGTTTTCTATAGACTTTCAGATTAGTCTAGGGTTCTATGCTTTGAACTCTTTATGGATATACAAGAATCTATTGACTTCTAAAATAAGATAGTACTTCACATTATTCATTAGGGCATTTTTAATTAGTAAACTCCCCTTATTTTTGGTGGTTAGCGTTCAGCTTTGATAGTTTTTTGGTTTCTTTTCTGGACAGCAGTAGCAGATTTAACATCCAAAATAATAACACATTCATTACAATAAAAAACAAGCATAGGAACAGAAATAATCAGAAAATTGTTTATGTGTATAACCTCATCTTTAATTTTTGTAATGTGATAAACTGCTAACAAGACCTTTCTTTCAAGCAGTTAGTACTGGAGCCTTTCTTCATCTTTGTTTTAATGGTTTTTAATTTATTTTTTTAACTTTTCTGGGTGTAAGACAGAGGATGAAAGAATCATCGTTCTATTCCCTGTGTCTATCCATGTGGCAACTCCCACAGGAATTTGTCAGACTTCAAGTTAGCCAAGAAGAGTTCCTGTGTATGAAAGCACTGTTACTTCTCAACACAAGTAAGTTCTTTTATTTCTTTGTAACACACTAAAAGAGTTTTGAACCATGTTAACTTGACAGTCACTAAGCTCTCTGGATTAACAAATGGAAATGTCCTAGATGGCATGTTAGTATTCTAAGACTAAAAATTTTTTTTTCTAGTGTTTATAACAAACAAAGAATTTGTGATTCATTGTTGGTTTTATTGTGTATAAAGATACTGGGGAAATGTTGGATCCCTTTTGACATATGGCTGTACTGTGTTAAACATTTTCAAAACAACTGTGCGGTATTTCTGCCTGAAAACATCAGTTCAAGTGACTCTACACAGATTTTAAAAACCCCAACCAAACCAAACTAAACTTAAAAGTTTTAGAATATATTTAAAAATATTTAATAAATTATCAAGACTGAGGGCTTTATCTTGACCAAGATCTTAAGCACGTTTGCTCAAAAGAATTAGGGATGTGGCCATGACAAACAATACTTGCATTTATTCAACTTTATATAGTTATAAATAGGTGAAGTTTAGCACAGATATAAACAAATGGAAATGTTTTTCTTTGGTTTGTTTCTCTGGAAACAAAATCCATGGTCACTTAATTGTACGCATCTTTTAAAGAATGCAGCATAAAACTGCATTCCCCTTTACATAGGAAATGTGGTTGCTGCCGAACTTTTCTTCCAAAATTTCCTCTGAAATTCTAAAAGTTACATCTGCTGAGGCCATAATTGTTAGTTATGAATCCCCAAATAGAAAGTTCTAAAGTAGTACAAGTGCTGTTAGAAATGAGAATAAGCATTTTTGAAAAATATACAAGTATTTCTACCAGTTCTGATGAGTTTTGCTTTTTGTTCTCTCCTGCAATTTTGTGTGAATAGATAGCTATATACATCAGTACATGTATTGTGCACATATTTTATGGTATACAGCATTGAAGTATTTTTAAAACATGCACTATAGTGCTACGGTTTTGTTTCATTTTAGGTAGCATAACCATTTGTTGTCTTATAGGAAAAAACAATTTGTCAGATGTTTGGGAAAAGGAACACAGCTAACAGTTGTTGCTGAGACATTTAGTAACCATTTGGTACTGTATAAATATAATTCCATAAAAGCATTTTCAAAAAGCCATATAACCTTTTTGTTGTTGTTCTAAAGTGTTTTAGGACTACTTTTATTTTAGTCATGGTGTTCATCTTAATCCACTTCAGTAGTGGAAGTACAGCCATTTCAGTCTTTTGTGTACTAACAGTAAATCAAGTCTAATCCTTTAGTCTCTCATTGTGTCTTCTGTTCAATTTATTCTTTAGATGAACTGTTTTTGACATTTTTAGATAATTCCAAAGAAACAATAATTTGAAATAAACTGGGTGTCAGTCTCGATACATTTCTAATTTTGAATGAACTCCCAGCCTAAATTTTAACATTATATTTGATTTTACAGTTTTTTCTTTGAGTCGGCTGAGGCTTAAATGTAATGCTTTCCAGACTTCTGATTTAAAGGAATTTCTAAATCTTGTTACATAAGATTTTGCCTCGGTTCATGCCACTGAATAAAAGCATACTGATACTTGATATATGTTCAGGGGAAGGGAGCAGCTCAAATAGATAGCTACAAGAAACTTTTTGTTGTTAGGCAGGAATGTGACTATTTTTTTTTTCAGAATTCAGAGGAAAAAGGCTGTTCATTGATGGAAGATAACTTTAAAATTAATTTGCAGGGGAAATATAAAGATTTAGTTGCTGGTTTAGAGATGTAAGTCAAGGATAGCTTCCATCTAACCCTGAACTCCATCACAGTCACCTTATATGAAAGTGTTCCTTAGTTGTCTATAGAACTGCTGTTAAGAAATGTCCGGAATCATCCAGGCTTTGAAAATTAAGGTATTCTTTTTCCATGACACTTGTCACTAGCAGCCACTAACAGGTTCTTTTCTCAGTGTTCTCTCCATGTCCTCATTTTGATTCTCACACCTGACCTTTAAAAGAAGAGGGAGTTCAACCAATTTCTCCTCCTTGCTCATTTTTCTAAAAAGCTGTTCACCTTTAAGTCTCTGATTGGTTCTGTTAAGAGGAAGAGGTTCAAACAGGAGGTCTGAGCCCTGGCAGCTTTACTGTCTGTACTACTTTAGAGCTGTTAGCTCATTCCTTGACTCCATTTTGAAGCACTCCAGCTAGATCTCTCTACCACAAATTCGCTGTGAAGAGGGCAGACCCTCAGCAGTAAACATGGATCAGGCCATAACGTGTTTCCTCAAAGGCAGGAGTGGTTCTTTAACCATATTTTTTTTTTCCCAGCAAACACATGTAACTGAAGCTTAGGGATATTTCTAGACATAAGGCAAGTAGCAAAATGAACTTTGCTCAATGATTGCTCCTGGTATATCCTTTTAACTAATTGTATCACTGGTTTTGGAGTAACTCTTGAAAGGGAAGATGTACCTGGCACATAATAATGAATTGCACTGTACAGCATGAAATGCTGTAAATTTTTCCTGGACTTGAAGTTTCATTGCCTTCAGACTAAATTGTAGCCCATCTGGTTTGGTTTTTTTTTTTTTTAGTTCCTTTGGAAGGTCTAAGAAGTCAAAGCCAATTTGATGAGATGAGAACAAGTTACATCAGAGAACTGGTGAAGGCAATTGGTTTGCGCCAGAAAGGCGTTGTGGCCAACTCACAGCGTTTCTATCAACTTACAAAACTGATGGATTCCATGCATGATGTAAGTTTATTTGTTAATGCTTTCTGCTCTTTATATATGAAGGAATTTCTTAAAAGTAATTCTATGGAAGGGAGTTGTCACCATTGCTAAACAACAGAACACACAAAAAAATCCTTTATTGTGTATATTTGTGTGAATAGATAGCTATATACATCAGTACATGTATTGTGCACATATTTTATGGTATACAGCATTGAAGTATTTTTAAAACATGCACTATAGTGCTACGGTTTTGTTTCATTTTTAGGTAGCATAACCATAAAATTGTGGGCTTTGGTAGGGGTGGTGTATATATGTGTGTGAGCACGTGTATGCTTGTTCAGGAAAATAGTACAAGGAAGAGGCAATTCAAGTTGCAAAGTCAGACTACTAAAAATTAGTGAAAGGCAACCAAGATTGGCTTTGCAACCTTAGTTCAGCTGTTTTTATGTAGGAATTCTATACCACTTTTTCAGTATCTGGCTGGGTTTGAAAATTGAGTAATCGTTGACAATTCTAGATACCATGCCCTGGACGCTTTTGAACTCAGTGTTGGTTGTGAGGAACTCCTAAGGAGTTCAAGGTGGACAGGATCTTTGCATCTTTGTGTTCTTCAGAACTCAGCAAATCTGCATTTTATTTTAATTCAATCTCTTCCTTTTAAATGCACAGTGAAATAACCTGTGAGGAAGAGAAAGAGGGAGAGAGGCTTGTTGCAAAATAACAAAGTGATGTTTGATCCATGGAGTATCTTCATTCAAGTCCTGTTTCAGCTCAGGCTGATAAAGTGATGGGAGATATAATGAAAAGAAAAATGATCACACTGGACAGATTGTGTGATGTTAAAGCTAAGGTAGCAAAAATAGTCTGATGTTTAACAACATTGGTCACTGGTCTGAAATAAAAATTGGAACCTCTCAGAGAGGCTAGAAGAGGTGTAATAATCACGTGTTAAGCAGTTGCATTCAAGGGATGAGAGTCTGTGAAGTTCAGTGTTTGCAGCATACTCAGATATGATCATAGTGAAAACCATGACAAAGCTCACAGGTAAGTAGTAAGTGCCACCTCTCAGAGCAGTGTTTAAATAGCAGGTAGTGACCCAAGTACACACGGGAGTGTGAGAATAAGATGGAAGGTTGAAAGCTTATTAGATAGTTGCCATTGTTCATCACATATGTCTTGAGTGAGGGGGATACTACTTTGTAATATTAGTGAAGCAATGGTTTTATATGACTTGCCATAGATATATGTATGGTTTTTGCCATTAAGAGGGTCTGCCAAGTACCCTCATTACTGATTCAAGAAAGGACAGGGTAAGGTATAGAATGATGTGAGCTGATGAATGTATAAGTGATTGACAGCATGTTTATGTGGCTGCATTACTGTTAGCCTGATTGATCATGTTTGTATTTTATCAAATCCAGCTGGTGAAACAGCTCCATCTCTTCTGTTTGAACACATTTCTCCAGTCCCGTGCACTGAGCGTTGAATTCCCTGAGATGATGTCAGAGGTGATTGCTGCACAGCTACCCAAGATTCTAGCAGGGATGGTGAAACCTCTTCTCTTTCACAAGAAGTGAAATGTCTTTTCTCTTATCACAGAGATGATACCTGGGTCATTTTTTGTTTGTTTATTTTGGTCAAGATTTTTAAATGTCAGGACTTCAGCATATTTGACATACTTACCCTGCCGACTGCTTTGTACCTGTAACATACACAAGCCATTCAAGCTTGATGTACATATTGTGTGTTCCTGATTCCTTAACTGCAAAAATCACAACAGTCATGAGAAATGTTTTGTAGACTCGTCTAAGCTGCTTTTTAGATATGCATATGAATGACAGTGAATGGACTTTCCAGATTTCTAACAACAGTTATACATTTTTCTTACACATTGCACACTCTTGAATTTCTGGTATGACATGGTGCAAAATTTTTACTTTAGCACATTGTGTGCATGGGTACATGTGGGCACATGAATAATGTAAGATTTTGGAGGAATTAAAATAAATATTGCCCACATTTTCTTACAGGTATTTTACTTTTTATTACTGCAATGCCATCAAAAATAAATAATGTGCTAGGCACACAGTATACGTTCATACTCTCATCTGTGGTCATGTTGCATTGAAACTCTTAATCCAGCATACTGTTTTCTGCATCATTCAGTGGAGCTCTTCTTCAAAAATCAGAAAATTTAGGAAATTTCCAGTGTGTATTACACCAGAAGTAATGTGTTTGCAAGCCCACTAAGCTTTGGTTTGTATTATTTTTCATTAAAAGTTCAGCACTTAATAAAGCTAAATCACTTCACTGTAATCCTAAATTAATCAACTCTTACATTCTGTATTTCAGAAGCTTTAAATAGAGATGTTTTCACTGACTACAACTCTTAGTGTTTTGAATTCCAATGCTGAACACTCAGTCAGCCATTAGCATCAAATTATAGTGAGATCAGATGCAAAAAGAAATGGAAAATATGACTGCAAACATTTTGATACACATCAGACTCATTTCAGTATGATTTAGTGGAGCTACATATTTTCTATTTTAAAAGCACACCATTATAAATGGGGTAACTGTAAAAAAGGAATTCGACTCAATTAGCTTTATACATTCAAGAAGAATGACATGTTTTAGCATAGAAATGAACATTCAACTGAAAAATTATTATGTGGTGGTGTTTGTTCCTTTGGTATGGTTATGAAGCAACTCATGCATTTAAGGCAGTAAATTGTAGATCTATTCAAACAATAGAGAAACAGATAAACCTTAAGAAGAATTTATGAGTCTATGAAAATACAACAAATTTTGCCAGTCATTACAAATGATACATAAACATAGGAAATGGTGAGTCTGTTCTGGATACTTCTGGCCTTATGCTTTTGCTTTGCCCATGGCTTGTTAGCTGTCCCCATTGTGTGGCTGTGTCCTGCTGGTGACGTGTAGCCTGGTCTGTACAGACATATCCTTGTCACATGAACAAAGGCCCCTGGGATGTAAGTTCAGTATCCCCGGCTAAATCAGGGTGCCCCTCATTAAAAGTATCAGTGATGTTACTTGTTGGTAAAAATTACATCTTGGTTCTTGAAAAAACTGTGGACAACTGACAAGTACAGGAATGTCTCAAGGTGTCCTTACTGGTCATAACTTCCTAAAGCCAGCGAAGAAGAATCTACATTACAGCTGGGAATAAGAGTATTTTTGAGATCCCCACAAAGCAGTACAAAACCCACTAGAGCTGGTGCAAATGTGTGACCTTAGATAAAGTGGTATAGACAGACTTCTCTGTTAGTTGACTAGGTTTGTCATTTCTAACTGCCCAGGAAAGCAATGTCTTTGATATTCCGTACAGTCTGACTTTTAACTGTGATCCTTAAAGCAATTATGTTTTAATAAATAGCACAATATTCTTTATTTCTACATCCGGAAGTTTTTCTTTCTTTATTTTGTGTTTGCATTTAGTAAATATGATTTTCAGTAAAACAAAAATCCATTTCAATCATTCCACTTTCATGTAACAACAGTATTTCCTTGCATTCTCATGGAATTGAAGTACTGCCACGATTTACCACTGAGTAAGCAGACCATCGATGTTACTGTTTAGATTAAACTGGTAACAGAAACTTCCCACACTAAAAATTACTCCTCATCACCCTAATTTTGAATTTAGATGTCAGATCAGGCAGCATGTTTGCCTTAGGAATGCATGAATCTGGCTACAGCTGCATTTTACTCAATCCCTAAGTGGCTGACATGTCACCGTGTCCCGTAAACATGGCGTATTAGTCTGAAATGCACCATATTCTCTCAAAGGCATAATCAAAAAGGAAAAAAAGATACCTTTTGGGAATAGTTAACAAAGCTTGAAAACATTCCTAAATTCTATTTCTAAAAGACCTCTTAACTCACAGAAAAAAAATCCCAAAAGTTCGTGGCCATGATGAATTCACTACACAAGATAGAATGACTGGGCAATTGTGTCTGCTGTAAGTCTGGAAGTCCTGTGATCATTTTGTAATTGTCTGAAGTTTGAAAAATATTCTAGCTATAAGCCCAGATCATAAAATGGCCTTTAGTGTCCATTTTGATATTGTCATTTGCTCTGGGTTACATAGAGACCATGAGCAGTGGAAAAGGACCTCTGGGTGCTGGTTGACAGTGGCTGAACATGATCCAGGGTGTGCCCAGGTGGCCAAGAAGGCCGATGGCATCCTGGCCTGGATCAGCCCTGGTGTGGCAGCAGGAGCAGGGCAGTGACCGTCCCCCTGTACTCAGCACTGCTGAGGCCACAGCTCCACTGCTGTACTCAGCTCTGGGCCCCTCACTGCAGGAAAGACATTGAGGGGCTGGAGCGTGTCCAGGGAAGGGCAATGGAGCTGGGGAAGGGTCTGGAGCACAAGTGCTGTGAGGAGCAGCTGAGGGAGCTGGGGGTGTTCAGCTGGAGAAAAGGAGGCTCAGGGGAACCTCATCACTCTCTGCAGCTGCCTGACAGGAGGGTGCAGCCAGGTGGGGTCAGGGGTTGACCTCTTCTCCTGGGTAACAGCTGACAGCAGGAGAGGACATCACCTCAAGCTGTTCTAGAGGAAGTTCAGGTTGGATATCAGGAAGAATTTCTTCATTGAAAGGATGGTTAAGTGTTGGAAGGGGCTGCCCAGGGAAGTGATGAAGTCACCATCCATGGTAGTGTTCAAGAAATGACTGGACTTCTGTGGTTTAGCTGACAAGGTGGAGATCAGTCAAAGCTTGGACTCAATGACCTTGGCAGACCTATTCCAAACTAAATTATTCTGATTCTGTGAACATCCATCAATACACCTGATTTCTTCCTTTCCTACAGAAATCTTGTGTACTATGACTTTTCAACCCTGCAGCAATATTCAGAGAGCCATTACTTGATTTTTTTTACTGAGTACAAGTTTTTATAGTTGTATGTGCTTATGTCCTTTAATAGTTTTTTAAAGAGAAAAGCATTTTGGACCTGAGCTTTACAAATAGGTCTAAATAGACATCTTGTAATGCTTCTCAATATATTGAGTAAGGCAGAATGTTGGATCTTCTTATTGGTGTGTTTATACACTACAAATAAGAGGTTTCAGCAGATGGATTTTTCTTCTTTTCTGACATTTAGGATGTGCCTGATTACATTTTAAAGGTATGAAAGCTGTTGTATTAATTATAAAGCTTGCCATCCATTTTCTATAGGCTTTTGTTTCAAGCTAAGACTAAAAGTTCTTCATGCACTGAATAATGCAGGCTGTGCCTGAAGCGAAGTCTCTCTTATTCTGTACAGTTGAGGTTTTTTTGACCAAAGCCCTTCAGCATTATCTTCTGTTGGTGCTTGAATGAAGAAAACAAACCAACCCATGAAGTCATCCTTAGAGCTCTGCTGCTGTGATTCAGCTCTGTACAGGTATTACAGGTACTATTTACAGTTTTTAAATAATGTTTTGGAGGTCGAGGTGCCTGGCCCTGGCAGCTCACCTGTGTTTGGAAAGCTGAGACCTCCAGTCCCTGCAAGCTGTTCTCCTTGTCTATGAGCTGCTCCACAGTTGTGCTTGCTGTGGTCCAAGAAGCATTAAAGATCAAACACTTGACTCATGTTTTGAAAGATCTCAGCTGTATCTACAGTTGCGACCAGCCCTTAGGGGTGGAGGGATGTGGATTCCTTAATACCTAGTCCATGACAGAGGTAAATGTGGTCTGAGAAGCTTTCAGTTGATTTCATGGCACTTTGAAATGGCCTGGCTATTTGTGTGCATAATAAACAAACATAATTTCTAATCTGTAGCTGTTTCTTCAGCTGCACTGCAGTTATGCTTTCTTGTGCTATATGTGCAACACTGGAAGTGAGACCTAAATTTGTATTTTCTGACAGTCAGTGCCTTGTTTGTACCTTAGCTGGGTTTTTTCTTTCTTTTCAAGTAGGTCTCTATCCATTACCTTTGTTGGGAAGGTGAGCTGCTTTCCTGTGTTCCTGCCTACACCCAAATATTCATCTCAGTTACCAGTGATGTGTCAGTAGCAGGAACAGCAGGGATCCTACAGGAATCTTTCCTTCCCATCCTCTCCTCCCTGCCCAAACTTAAGGCTGTTTTATCTGCAGAGAGAGCAGGAGAGGATGGGGCTGCACCCCACCCATGCAGTGCAATTCCAAGCACACATTTCTTGCCTTACATGCTGTTTGTGGCAGGCTGACCTTCCTTTCCTTCCAAGAAGTCAGCTTGCAACCACAGAGCTAATATCCAAAGCCCTCCCAACTTTCCATGGCTCGGAAGCCTGTGAGCATACTGCCAGGCTGGACTGTCAGCATTGCTGGATTTATTGGTTTGTACTGCTTTGTGTCATGGTGACCTGACTCGAACAGAGATTTGCTTTCAGTTTACCTCTCTTTTCCCCTTAGAAGATGAAAAGGAAAAAAGAACTAATATTTTTGGTATTTTTTGGTTTAAAATTTACTTTTCTTTTTTTTCAATGAATGCTATTAATTTATGAGGTTGACATTATTTGCATGCAGAATGGTACTGTAGCTTCTCAGATGCTTGGACAGGAACATGCAGTAAAAGGTGACTGCACAGATATTAATAACTAAGTTAAAATTTATCTGTCTGTTTACCTTAAAGAGAATATAAATAACCCACAGAAAATAGTGTTTAAGTGATGTTGGAACTATGCAGTAGTTGCATAACTTCAAATACGTGAGCAGTGCTGCTCCCTTGATGATTTTTCTTGCTCACATTTAGGAATTGCTTTCCCTGGGTTGAGCCCACAGTGCTCTGTATGGGGCACTTAAGCATATATAGAGGACATCAGATAGTGGTGAGCTTTCATTTAATTCTAGTATATCCTTTAAAACTGGCAACATTTCAATTTCTTGCTGGTGTGGGTGGGCTCATTATAAAAATACCATCACTAGCCTTTTAGTCATAGACCATGTTTTTCTGACCATGAAAACTATGTTACCTTTTCACCTCTATGGGTACAATAGTTCCACCAATTTAAGGTTCAGACATATCAGCGAGGAAGTTCTCACAGTGTCATTTAAATAGTCTCACTCTATTGCATTTTCCCACACTCAATTCAAATACCTACCCAGCCAGTTCATGACTAAAATCTCCTTTTCCTTTGTGGAGGAAAAAAATAAAATAAATCATTGTCAGGAAATCAGAACACTGCATCACTGAGCTTCAAACAAGGGGCTAGACTGAATGAAAAGCAGGTAGGGAGCATAATTATCACCTTTGACATCGCATCAGAAATAACTGGCCAGAGAAGTACGGAGACCTTTGTGTTATACAGGTGAGATTTATATGAGCATCACCATAAATTGCTCATTCCAGGGATGTACAGTTCTCTCAGAGGCCTATTTTGCATATGGTGCATGGGAATATAGCAATGCTCTTACACTTCATACCCTGTATTGTTGGGTGATGTCCAGTGTGGGACTCTAATCTGCGATATCTCCAGCTGAGAACAATGTTCTCATCACAGTGGCTGCCCAAAGAAGCTGATTTATTCTGGCAGGCCTGTCTTGGCTATATGGAGCACGAATAGGAGAGGCACCCAACCGTGTGCATGGCAGTATGAATCCACAAAGGTGTGGATGTGATCTTACTGAGAGTATTTGAAAAAGAAACACCTGGCCACCTGCAATTAATATGTTCCCAACCATTTCCCCAGATTCCAGCAACATTCCTAAGAGTAAAACATGGATTTTGATGGCCCATGTAGGCATATTCTGTTGTAGACAAAGGACAACACACGTGACAAAAATTCACCACTGTTAAATAGAAAAAACTGTGACATGATGCTGTCAGGACAGGCTCTCAGCTCGCCTATGGGGCAGTGCACACAATGGATGGGAATATCATCTTTTGGGGCTGTCATCACCACACATCAGGTGCTGGTCAGCTGAGGATGTCAAGGCTTTTCATTTGAAAATTTAGGTGTTTTGTGTCCTAAAGCTCAGCTTACAGTGCAGTCACATTGCACTGGCCAGTTAATTTCTTACACATAATTTTACACACTCACATCCCCAGCTGCTGTTACAAGCAGATCCTCGTGATGGCTACAGCCAGCTTAGGTTTTACTGGGAGACAGAAACTGCTTCCCTTTCTCAAGCTTCAAAATACAGGTCATGTGTCTATTTGGCTGCCCACAGCTGTTGCAGCGTGCTTTTATACTTTGTAATACTTTGTAATAGTTAGATTTTGTACCCCCTTATTCCCCCCCCGATGATGTACCCCTTTTTGTACCCCCTTCCTCTACCTATGCAACCATTCTCCTGTGTTGAGATCATCCCCCAAATCCCCGCCCTGGCTCTCTGTCAGTCACTCAGCATCCCATCCCTTCTATCTAGATCTTTCGGTCAAAG